GGGGTTTCTTACAACAGGTGTGCCTATGATGTATTAATATGTATATGGATATAATTCATCGCATTGATTAGGAAACCTTTGCATATAGGCATCATCACATGCTTTTTTTTATTTGGATGGACCAACCAATCTTTGAAATATTTGTGATGCTATATTGGCTTTTAGATTCACAAATTGATTATGTATTTCTTTTTCCTTTTATAACAGCAAAGACAAAGGCATGTGCTATTGATCCCATTTCCACCATATGTCACCATCTGTCATCTAGTTTTCCATATACATATACCATATGGATATATAAACCATTCAAGATGAATAACACAACCACAGATTCACAGCTTTTCCCCAAGAAGTCATGCTTTTAGAATTTTCATTCACCATAAGCCTTTTGAAGTTAACAGACAATACCCTCCTTATAAAATGGCCATTCTTATGCCCCGCATCACTCAAGCAAAGCAAATTCTTAAACGGTCATTCTCAAATGGAAGTAGGACAACAAAATCTATGGATATCCCGAAAGGCTGTTTAGCGGTTTATGTTGGTGAGCAAGAGAAGAAGAGATTTGTAGTTCCGGTATGGTTGTTAATGAAACCTATTTTTCAACAACTGCTTGATCAAGCTGAGGAAGAATTTGGGTATAGTCATCCAATGGGTGGCCTCACTATTCCATGTAGTGAATGTACGTTCACCGATTTAGCTTCTCGTTTGGGCGCATTATGACTTACTTGTATACAACATTCTTAGTTATCACGAGTAGTTGACTGACCAGTAGAATTTTTTTTATCATTTGTAATTAGAGACAATTGTTCCATTTTTGTAAGAAACTTGAACCAGAACTATTTAGAGTTTATTGGATTTTGTTTAGCGTTATGAGATAAGAAATGCAGAAAATTGCATCATCCACTATTTTGGCTATAATAATTTATCATACCTTGATGTGCGTCCCTATGAAGATAAAATGATATCAGTTTGTTTTTTCAGAAAAGTTTATATGAGAATGGATCATGAGCTTTGTTGCGATCCATCTTCCTGCATGTAATAAATTTATATTTTTTTATTCGGAGGGCATACCACGTAGATACACATATCAT